TGTTTTATTGTTTTATACTGGCTTTATTACCATTGCAGAGAACTCGGAGGCTTAATTTAAAAGTTTAGACATTCACTGCAAACCAAATAAGCAAAAATAATTTTAACACAGGCAGTGAGTGCTTTTGTAAATTAAAGCCAGTGATATTTTTGATTCCGGTGTCATTCATATTAACATGTATGTAAATTGTTTAGCTACACAGGTTTCAGGAATAGTTGATTCTGATTATACACTATTTTAGCTGTGCTAGTTTCATGTCTTTTTTTTTATTAGTCTTTTTTCCCTCATAATTTTATCATATTTTTTAAATTAATATTAACTCCATATATTTGAAGTAAGTCTCTAATGCTCACCAAGGCTGCATTTATTTGACAAAAAATACAGCAGAAGCAGTAATATTGTGAAATAGTATTGCAATTTAATATTTTAAAATATAATTTATTTCAGTGATGGCAAAGGTGAAATTCTAGCAGCATTACTCCAGTCTTCAGTGTCACACGATTCTTCAGAAATCATTCTAATATGCTGATTTGGTGGTCAAGAAACATTTATTGTTATTAATATTAAAAACAGTTGTGCTGCTTGTTTTATTTATTTAATTTCAGGAAGCTTTCAGGAAACTCCGATTCAAACAAACAGATGAAAAGAAATTTCAGAAGAACAACATATATTTGAAATATACATATTTTTTTAATAATGTAAAAGTAATTACTGTCATGTTTGATTAGTGGCATCCTTATTAAATAAGTATTTAAATAATAAAAAGTCTGAATGACTCATAAATGGAGGACCACATTGGGCAGCAGTTTAAAAAAACTGGGTTGTTTTTCAGGGGTGTTGTGGTTTCACCACCAGATTTTGTGGTAAATATTTGGAGCCGTTCCTCAGTCTAAGCAGTGTGAGCTCCTTACCCAGACTCTGTGAGCTCATGCGAAGACGCACTGTTTCCCACATTGGGAAAGTCAAGTTCTTCTCTGTGTATGTTTGAGCATGTGTGCAGTCTGCTAGACATATGTTTACAGCTGTGACTTTGTGACTCATGATTACTAGGGCAATGTAAACAAATCATGCAGTGACATACGGTAAGGCTCATTACCAGGACTTTTGTTCCATTACACTAGAGGTATCAGCCATTTCGCCTGCATTTTTATTCTCGTAGAGGCCTGAACGCTTGTGAATCTGGGCTGCTCTTCTGGTGGTCTGCTTCAGTCCATCGAGCAGCTTTCTCTAGTGGTGTGATGTCTAATTGAGCAAACTGTGATCACATTGTGTGCTACACTCTTAAAAATAAAGGTGCTTCAAAAGGTTCTTCAAGCGAGGCCATAGAAGAACCATTTTTGGTTCCACAGGGAACCATTCAGTCAAAGGTTATTTAAAGAACCATCTCTTTCTTACCTTTTTATAATCTGAAGAACCTTTCGCCACAAAGAACCTTTTGTGAAACCGAAAGGTTCTTCAGATGTTAAAGGTACTTTATGGAACCATTTAGACAAAAAGGTTCTTCTATGGCATCGTGAAGCACCTTTATTTTTAAGAGTGTAGAAGCAGGAGAAGTGTGTGTGTGTGTGTCTGGGTTTAAGTTATTGGTCCCGCAGTGAGGTGGTCTCTGTTCCACTGGGCTTTGTGTAAACTGACTGTTGGTTCAACACACAGCCTACCGTGGCTTTCACCAGGAAGTCTTATCTGGCAGGTTTTGCCACCAATTCCTGTCCTGCAGACTTTTCCATGATATAAAAGAGGCTGATCCAGCCTTAAGTGCCAGTGGTGTGATGGGATTTTGTAGCGGACGTTGGCCTGTAAAGTGATTGGCTGGATTTTAAATAGAGGACATACTGAAGATTTTTTTTTTATTGCTCTGAGGTTGTGCTTTCATGGCAAATCTAAGAAAATTATGAAACATTTGTGAGATCTCTTCTAAAACTCTGGTGGAGACGGATATTGTTAGATT